TCGTGCTCCATGAGGATGAGCTGATTAAACCCAACTCACTCACTAAATAGCAATGCAAATCCTCTTAGCTGAGCCGGTGAGTATGTCTCCACCCTGTTTTTCCCCTCGCCCTCCATAGGAAGCATTCCCAGGGTTGGGGCTGTCTTGATGAGGTTTCATCCCCTTTTTCCCCTGGTGGAATAACCAAAACCAAAGTGGGCTTGGGAAATGGGTGCCTATGGGGGAAATCTGGCCAGAGTCTTAGCCATTGGAGTTTAAAATGTATTGAAACAGTTCCAAGTATCATGTGCATCTTTACATCCATTTGGGAGCATCTTCCAGCTGGGTTGTCAACCCAAAACCACACGTGGTTTAGTCCAAAGCTTTTCTTTCCCCTAAAGCAACAAATTAAAAGGGCTTCATAAAGCTTATGCTGAGGATCAGCCTGACATTACATACCAAAGAGACATTATATGCCAAATATTCAAGCATCGTATGCCAGATCTGCTCCGTATGTGTCATTCTCTGCCCTTTTATCTTGGAAGGGGAGCTGCTGATGGGGGCAAGCTTTACCAGTGCCTGCGTGGGAGCAAGAACAAGGCAACAATCACTGCCTGGTGCAAGGAAAAGCCCAGGGAGAGATGAGGCTGCTCTGAAGACGCTCAAGATGCTCATGCAGAGTTGTCATGGGCACGATCCTCTCCGTAGTCATCTCCATGGCTACCTCAGCTTGCAAGCGATGTAGGAGCAGCGTTGTTAGCCTAAATGCTGCCTGCTCCCTCTTGGCTGGTGGAAATAAGTAATGCTTGGATCATCCAAAGGAGTTATCTCCAGGGATGACGGCTGGTTTTTAGCTGGCAGCTGTGATTGCAGAGGTTTTTCTTAATGAAAAACTGAGATTTGTAGCATCTCCCCTAAGGTGTTTCTATGCTGGGTGCACAAGTGCATGATGAGCTCAGCTGAGGCTCAGGGGGTTTTGCCTGCCCTTAGCCAATTCAACTGGAAAACCCAGCTAATATTCCTGCTTCTGAGCCAGGCTTCTGCTAGGGGAATGCTTACCTTAAGAAACAAAGCTGTGTATAGATAAGGAAGTTGAGCTTTGACTGTGAGGTGAGAAGGAAACATTTTTAAATGAGGTTTTTTCACCTATCTAGTGATTTTTCTTGGTAAACAGCAGCCAAGCCTATGCACAGTGGGGCATTCCTGTTAATGCAGCCTGGAGCTGAGAGGTGCTGGCTTTAGGGGCAGAGATGCCAGAGCCAACAACTCCCCTAAAAGTTGTCTCCTTCATTTTATTTCTTTATCTTTTCCAAAACCATTCCCAACACTGTGGCTCACGGCCTGCTTGGAGAAAGCCAGGATTAGATGGGATCTAAGGCAGAAGCTCTTCCCTGTGAGGGTGCTGAGGCGCTGGCACAGGGTGCCCAGAGAAGCTGTGGCTGCCCCATCCCTGGCAGTGTTCAAGGCCAGGTTGGACACAGGGGCTTGGCGCAAGCTGCTCCAGTGGAAGGTGTCCCTGCCCATGGCAGGGGTTGGAGCTGGATGAGCTTTAAGCTCCCTTCCAACCCGAACCAGGCTGGGATTCTATGCTTCTATGTTAAATCTGCACAGAGGGCTTGAATTACAAGGGCAGAAGCCCACAGGCCATCAAGAACAAGACACCGGAGGTGGCAAGCACAGCCTGCAAAGCGTTTAAAGACAGAAGAAACTGGTTTATCAGATGATGAACATAAACCTTACTATGTGCCCACATGGGGGAACGACACCGGGGGACAAACCCCAGCTTAGGGAAAAGTGGTTTTGCTCCAGTGATGGGCAAAGAGATTTGGTTTTAATCTCAACAAGAGAGAAACCAGACCCAAAGCTGCATCTGGTTGAACTCGGCTCCATCGTGCCCTTTTGCCAGCAGCTCCAGTCACGCTGGCCTCCTGCTTGTTTTTCAGTGCATTTCTCAGCAAGCCCAGAGGGACTGCACAGAGAATAATGATCAAAGGCCAGAAACAGGAGGAAATGAGTTTTGCATTCACAGCAGCGGGTCAGGATACGCTGCTTATCCTGAGCTGGGCCAAACTGTTCACACCAGGCTTGGTGCGAGGGGGTTTCCTGCAAGCAAAGCCCCGTCCACAGCCATTAAATGCAATGAATAATCTGCGCTAATAATACAACAGAGCTGCTTGTTCCGGGGGTGTTTTCTTGTCCATATTCTGGCCTGAAATACCCGTGTTGTCCAAGATGCTGTTGTGGTATCAATAATCCAAGGAGCTTGTCATGTGAAAGCTAAAGGAAGCCAGAGCAAAGCCTCTGGGACTTGACTCCTCACAAAGCTGAGCTTGTTTGGGAGCCTGGTTATTCTGCTAAGGATTCATTAGCTAATCCACTGCTCAAAAAGGAAGGAAAGCTGGCTATAATCATGGCAATTCCTCAGCTGAGATTTAATGGAATAAAGCTGAGAATTGGGGTCTTACGGCTCCCTTATTAATTGCTACAGCTCCCCTGTACAAATAACCTCAAAATGAACATTTCTAGGGACTGGGGTGGGATTGAGCCCTTCGTGGCAGCTGTTTTGTGTCTGAGCTCTCTGAGCTGTTTCCAGGGGATGATGCGAAAAGCAGATGGAAGAGGTCACGGGTGGTTTTCGGGAGCTAAGAAAGGAGGTCGTGCTCCTTGGAAAATGGGGAGAAGAAGAAAGAAAGGAAATGAAACAACAATAGTAAACCTGGAGCCTATTTTCATTCCACCTCCTTCCATTCAGCTTCAGGAATAGGCTGGTTCTGGCAAAGGCTTTTCCTGTATTTCTCCTTAGTTCCGGGAATAGAGAAGAGCGATTTATGCCTTGAAATAGGTGGTGGTGGGGAACCACACCTGGGCTGAGCAGGGCTGCAGCCCCAGCTCTTTGAATTATTGATCTTATGTATATTAATTATATATATGAGTTCTCGGGGCCAGCAGGGAGAGCAGGAGGAGGATGCGCTGAGTGAGCTGTCGCAGGAGTTGGGTTTCAAGCAAGGAGGATTTGAGAAGGGGAACGGTTTAATCAACACCAGTTTAGTTAAGCCCTTAGAAGCGCATAGGCCACAGATGCCGCACAAACTGCGACAGGGAAACATGATGGAGGAGATGGTACCCACTTTGCACAGCAGAAAAACACATCCAGGAGTGGAAATGGGCTCACTTCAGTCTTTAACTCACCAGTACAAGTCATCAAGAGGAGGGAAGGTGGGAGAGCCTATGCGAGGGGGTCACTTTGGGGAGGGAGCTGAGGTTGATCATACCCCGTGACCTTGCTTTGGGGGAGGAATCTGGCCCCAGCTTTCCTATTTTTCCCTTTTTTCCTAAAAAAATCAAGTGCCTCCAGTTGGTTTAGGACAATTTTCTGGGTTATTTATTAGTGATTTACTATTAACTCAGAGCTACGACTGCTCGCATTTTAATCCATCCACCCCCCAGGCTGGACATAGCGCTGTAATATATATATATATACATGTATATGTATACATGTATATATATATATACTGTAATATATATATTACAGTGGTGACCAGGTGTATTTATAATACACATCTATTTTGGGGTGAATTCCTCTGTTATTCATTACTTATCTATGTCCTCATCTGTTAATTATTGTGACCCAGCTACAAGAAATAACTTCAGGAAGAAGAGCCAGCTGAGTCCAGCTTCTTATCACTGCCTGTTACCGTTTCTTAACCAAAAAGGAAATCAGCTTAACAAGTATTATACCATTTATGTTGCTGTATAAAGTAGATACTCCTAGCATCACGGAATGGGTTGGGTTGGAAGGGACCTTAAACCCATCCAGTTCCAACCCCTTGCCACAGGCAGGGACACCTTCCACTCGAGCAGGTAGCTCCTAGCCCCGCCAACCATCACATTGCTTCCTGATGTGCTGAGGACACTCCTGGGCATGGTTGTTCCTGCAGACATCCTCCTTTGGGCTTCAGCTCCCCGATTGCCTTTAGCCAAAAGCCTTTGCAATGCTGACCTCTGCAGGGTAAATACCGAATAAAGCAGGTGGCTCCAGGCAGCAAGAACCTCAGCGGTGCACGAAGCAAGAGGGGTTGTGCTTTATTGCTGTGGGTAGCAATAACCTTGTAATGATCGGGGGGGTATCACTTGGAAGGGTGGAATTAGAGAAAATTGGGGTCTAACAAATTGTAGCATTATAGAAACACCTTTTTTTTTTTAGGGTAAAATAGAGGGGTTTAGGGTAAAATATAGTTTCACAATCTGCTCTCTTAGAGGAGCAATGGAGGGTGGAGTGGAAACACCCCTGTTGCTCCCTGCAGGGATGGGAACTGGATGGTACCATGCAGCTGATAAGCCACATAGCAGCTGTCAAATGGAAAACAGAAGAGAAGATGTGCATGTCTGAGCCAGCAGCTGTGGTGAAACCACTTTCCTTAGGTGAACCTTGCTCATTGTAATATGCATTCACACCTCCATCCCAAAGTTACCCACCTCCAAGGTACAGCCACACCTCACCGAGCGTGGGCTTCATGGTTTTTAACAGTTCTATCTTGAAGTGAAGAGAGGATTTTACACCAATCCATAACAGAATGACTGGAGTCACTGAAACTCCATCAAGTGCAGTCCTGGTGTCCCCAGCGTGAGGACATGGAGCTGTTGGAGCAAGTCCAGAGGAGGCCACGAGGATGCTCAGGGGCTGGAGCAGCTCCTGTATGGAGCCAGGCTGAGAACATTGGGGCTGGAGAAGAGAAGCTGCGTGGAGAGCTCAGAGCAGCTTCCAGTGTCTGAAGGGGGTTACAAGGACGCTGCAGAGGGGCTCTTCATCAGGGACTGGAGGGATAGAACAAGGGGTGAAGGGTTCAAACTGAAACAGGGGATGTTCAGGTTGGAGATAAGGCAGAAGTGATTTATGTGAGGGTGCTGAGGCGCTGGCACAGGGTGCCCAGAGAAGCTGTGGCTGCCCCATCCCTGGCAGTGTTCAAGGCCAGGTTGGACACAGGGGCTTGGAGCAAGCTGCTCTAGTGGAAGGGGTCCCTGCCCGTGGCAGGAGTTGGAGCTGGAGGAACTTTAAGCTCCCTTCCAACACAAACCAGTCTGGGATTCTATAAAGGGAATGAAAGAGGGGAGCAGATAGGGAAGACTCCATCTGGGATCAGTCAATGGGCTGAACCTGTCTTCTCCCCCATAGGGATGCCCATTGGGTAAGAGCTTCTGTTCACTCAATGACTAACTCACAGTAGCTATTAGTGGTTATAGTCTGGTTGTGCATCTCTTCAAGCTTGGTTTTCCAAAAGGCATCTTATCACCAGCATCTCTGAACCTTATCCTGTCACAGCCCACTGGGCTTCCCTGGGAGGGGGGCAGAGCCATAAACTACCTTCAGTGTACCCCCCCACACACACCTTAATCAGCAGGTTTGACCCCACCTCTAATTAAGCACTAATTGACAGCACCCTGCTGTCACCCCCACCTCCAAGGCCTGAATGGTTCCCAATGGGAACAGGAGGAGATAGTGGCCACGACACAAAGAGTCAGAAGTGGGTTTGACTGGTAAGGACTTTAATGTGCCAGTGTGGGGCAGCGGGCGGGTGTCCTACCCATGGGTCTGCTAGGGGTACACCAGTGGTTACTGGGAGCTGTGGGGGGCCTTCCTGGATCATCTGGGAGCATCCCTGATGGGTGCTCAGACCCCGAAGGTGGCCGAGGGGGAGACATCTGAAGGAGACCCCAGAGCATGGAGATGAGTGTCCCGCACCCGGGAAGGATGCTCAGACCCCAAAGGACACCGAGGAAGAGACGTCAGAGTGGACCCAAGCCCTGTGAGACGTCGGAGGGACCTGGAGCTCTGCAGTGCTTGGGCACGGGTTTGATGGGAGCTCCAGGAGCACAGGGAATGCTGCTGCACCCGGCAGGCCCCCGGCTAGAGCTTGAGCGCTGTGACACGGGGGATGTGGAAGGGACAGGTCTCCTCTGACCCTGTAGAGCTGCAGAAGGAGAAGGAGAGATCATCAGGGCATCAAGGAGGAGCCCACATCTCCCTCCCTGCAGCTCCCACCCCATGTGCAGTGCTTACATGAGCCGGTTGCGGATGGGTCGGAAGTGTTTGGTGAGCCTGATGGCGAAGATGATGTTGGGGATGAGGAAGAAGGTGCAGCATCCCAGGCTGAACCAGAAAGCGTTCTGCAAGGAGAGAGCATGGGGATCCCTGCTGAGCTGTGTGGGGAATGCTCGTCTCCAGGCTGAACATTCCCAATGTTCTCAGCCTGGCTCTATACAGGAGCTGCTCCAGGCCCTGAGCATCCTCATGGCCTCCTCTGGACTCCATGTCCTTACACTGGGATAACATAAGGGTAACACCAGTTATCCTTACCCAGGGGTCAGCGATGCGGTCGCACAGGATCACCCGCCCGTTGTCCAGCGCCGTGGCGAGCGGCTGACACGAAGCCACATCCTCCCTCAGCTGCCAGAGGAAGTGGAGACAAGGGATAATCCCATTCCTGCCTTTGGGAGCTGCATCTCGGCTCAGCGAGGGGCTCCCAGTCCCGAAGGATCAGCACCTACCGTCTGCCCGACCCAGTTCAGGTACTGGGTGAAGTACCGCAGCTCCCTCCTGGTGAAGCAGCCGATCTCCTAGGCAAAGGGAAGGCAGCGTGGAAAGCCGGAATCACGCTTCCCATCCCTGCTCCAACCAGCCCCGGGCTAACACCAGGCTTGGAAACAAGGACTGGAAGCCTCAGGTGCCACTTGACCCCTTGCAGCGCCTCGTTCCCACTCTTTCATTCCAGCCCCAGGGAATTTTGTCCCCCCTTGAGGGCATATCCTGCCCCTGCTCACCTGCCGGAGGATCTGCTGGGCTTGCACAGGCAGCCGGGCTTCCACCGAGGCTATGGTGGCCAATGTCGTCCTCACCCGCTCCTAGGGAAGCACGGGAAGGGCAAAGCATCCTTAGAGCACCCGGCAGCAGGATGGGTGCCCCGAGGGTGCCTGAAGCAGGGTAAGAACCACAGAGCTTCCAGATGGTTGTGGGATACTGGGGAAAGAGGGGCCTGCTCCAAGCAGAGAAAACCCTTGGCAAGAGGGAATGCCATCGGATGCTCCTGTTGGGAATGCTGAAATGCCCTTAGGGTGATTTACAGATCTAAGCACCAGAGGAGACGATGTTTTCCCTGGCTCTCCCATCACCCAGCACTGGGTTTTTGGGACCCATTGGGCATTTCCAAGCTGGAAGAAACCACGCAAGTACCTGGAGGTGCGGAGCCAAGCGGGACAGGAACTGGACGCTCTCTCCCAGCTTCTCCTGTGGGACAGGGAGGTGAGAAGGGTTCCAAAGCTCCATCACCCCATTGACATGGACACCACCAGGCAGACACCAGCAGCACCATGAGCCACCGACCCAACACGCACTCACCACCAAGGCTTCCTGTGATTGCACCGTGGAGTTCTGCATCTGCCATAGGGCCCGAGCCTCGGCAGCCAGGCGCCCCGCCACCGTGCTGTTCCTCTGTGGGGGGACACAATGGGGTGCGGATGCCCCTATGGGCTTGAAGGCAGCTCCTGATGCCCTCCCCATCACTCACCTGCATCTTCTGCAGCCCCTCGAGGCTCCTCGCCAAGCCGGGGAGGCTGGTCTGCACCACCGGCTTCCTCATCTGCGGGAAGATGGACTTGGTGCCAGATGCAATTCCAACCCTGGAAGCTGGTCCTGGCATGGTTGGGCTGCATCCTGCCCGTTGCAGCAAGGACCACGAGCATCCCCTCACCTCCTCCTGGAAGCGCCCGTAGTCCACCTCATCCACACCGCTGCGGGCGAAGGTCTCCAGGTCCTGCCTGCCCTCGCTGCGGAGGAGCCGCACATCACCCAAGCGCGCTGTGAAGTCAGCCAGGCGCTTCTGGAAGTCAGCCGTGTACTGGGGTGGTGGCATGGATGTTATGGAGCCGGGCACGGGAGAGCCAGACCTTCCCCCTGTATCCCCACTAAAGCTCATGCCATCCCCATGGCATCCCCATAAGCTTTGCCTGGACCCAACCCTCACCTTGGGGGTTTTTAGGTGCTCATCCAAGTCGTAAGCCCTGTCGAGCTGCAGCACCTCCCACAGCCCTGCACCGCTCTTGCACTCCCTGGAAGGCAAAGGGATGTGACCCCAAATCAGCCCTCCCGGTGTGGAAGGGCAGAGCGGGGCTCCTGCGGTACCCACCGGTACGTGGTGCTGAGGTTGGAGTCCCGCCTGAGGTTGAGCTGGCGGGTGAGGTTCATGGATGGAGGCAGGTTCCCAGGGGTGTCGATGAACTGGGATAAGCAGGAGGAAAAAGAGGGTCATGGTTGTGATTTTGGGGTGTTCTGGCCTCACAGTTGCATGTTGGGGTTACCCCATCCCAGCCAGAGCTGGTCTTGCTGCAGTGATCTCCAGAGCCTCACTGGGTGGTGTTCAGAGGGAAAGCAGAGCACAGCCCCATGTCTCCATGTGTAAACCCATGGGACAAACTCTGATCCCACTCCCAACTCCTCTCTGAGCCCCATCGCAGCCCAAAGCACCCTCCCAGTCCCCAAGGACCAGGGAACGGGGTCCTGCAGGTAGGAGCATCATCATCTCAAGTGAACGAACAGCACAAGGGCAATTTCCTGCTGCTGATGCAAATCCAAGGTCCTAATCCTAGCCTTAATCTGCTGGGTGCGGTGGGGCTTTTCTGAATGGGTTTAAGAGGGAGGACACAGAGCATTTGGAGGCATTTTGGGGCATGCAAACAGAGATCTATGGGGTGATGGGTGGATCATAGAATCATGGAATGATTTGGGTTGGAAGGGAACTTAAAGCTCATCCAGTCCCAACCCCCTGCAACGGATGGGGACACCAGAGAGGAGCTTCTTCCTTATCTTCAACCTGAACCTCCCCTGTTTGGGTTTGAACCCATCACCCCTTGTCCTCTCTCTAGGACACTCATGCATGGCCACCCACCTTATAAATCTCCTGGTTGACCCAGTTCCTGCAAACCAGCGTCTGAATGTTGCCCCCGACCAGGAAGGTGGCGAAAACCAGGAGGACGAGGAGCCAGGAGAACAGGAAAGCCAGGCCCACGCCGCTGAAAGAGGGAGAGGAGGCGCCAGCGGCTGCTTTACAGACCCAAGAGGGCAGAAAGGCTTGTGGGGACCTGCCGGAAGCCCCACGGCTCCTTCCCGCGCCCGGGCACGCCGGGTTGCTCGGGAAGGGGTGTGCCGGGCAGCGGGAACGGGGCGCGGGAGCTGCCAGATCCCAGGGAGGAGCCGCTGCTCCCAAACCTGCCGGCACAGGCGGTGGCTTCAAACGCCTTTCGGCACAGCCTGTCCCTCCCTTGGCTTTGCCCTCTCTGTATTTTAAGGGGGTGAGATGCCAAGATGCCAACAGCCCCCCCCCCCCCCCCCCTCCCCAGCGCCCAGGTTGATGCTTACACCAGGAGGAATTTGGCACCAGCTTCTCCTCGGCACTCGTAGTCGCTCGGGTCCTCCCGCTTGGAGAGCCCGTACGCACCCAGTGCCATCCCCGCCACGTTGCAGGCGAGGATGAGGAGGATGATGGAGCACAGCACCGTGCCCGCGATCCACCTGCAGGACAGAGCAGCCTCGAGATGTGGGGCTGGGGGACCAGCCGGGGTTTGGGGTAGGGGTCAGCACCCATCACTGCTGCACCCGTCCATGCTCCCCCTCCAGTGTCACCTGTACTGCTCAAAGCGCTGCACCTCCCGGAGGTACGGCTGGCTCCGGTCCTCTGCCTTCATCAGCGCTTCGCTCACGGGCCGGGTGTAGTCATGGAGGGGGAAGCTGTCAGCGATGGACTGGACCTTCTCTGTCGTGCGGGCCATCTCATCCCGCAGATCTGCGAGGACAAGGCCATGCAAGGGATGGATGGTCCCCAGATCCATCCATTATGGGATTATTCACCCCATAGAGGGTGTCCCTGCTCAGTCCACCCATGCCACTCACCTTGGATGACCTGCGCCATGCGCTCCACAGCCAGCTCGGGGATGGAGTTGAAGGTGCCGTTGCCCTGTGAGGAAAGAATGGATGCTGAGTGACTTGGATGGGGCTGCCCATCCAATGGGGACCCCCTTGCTTCACTATAACCCCCCCAAACCTGGCGAATCATCTCCGCAAAGTCACTTCGGGGCAGCCCAGCCAGCGCCTTCAGAACCTTCTCCACCGACGGCACCTTGGAATGGGAGAAGCAACCATGAATCCCGGCACTTGCCGGAGCAGTGCTGTTGGTGGGTGACCAGCACCGTGTCCCAGCACCTTGCCATAGTCAGCGCCCAGCTCCAGGCTCTGTGCCCTGCCCAGGACGCTGGCGCAGGAGGTGCAGCGCGGGTCATCCAACAACGCTACCACGCGGCGCCGCCGCTCCCGCAGCACCGGGTCCAGCTCATCCCGCGCCACCGCCAGCGCCCGCGCCGTCTGCTCCAGGATCTGTAAATGGTGCAGCGAGGTCTGTAGGTCTTAAAGAGAAAGCCCAGGGCTAGGTCACGCTGCTCTGCTCGGCCACCTCCGGCGAGGCTTTGGCACCGACCCCAAGGGAGCACCGCGCTCGCCCGGTACCTCCAGCCCTGTCCTGCAGCTCTGCCAGCGCCGCGTAGGTCATCGCCTTCAGTTGCGTGTGGATGGAGAGCCCCACGCTCCGGCTGAGCCCTGCAAGGCAATGGGCACCCTGTGAGCATCTCATCCCGGTTGGGAGCTGGCAATAGGACCTGTCAGTGCTCGGCGCAGTTTTGCTTACCGCCCAGGTCGGAGGTTATCTGCTGTCGGGGCACCTCGAACTGATCCACCACCATCTGCACCCCCTGCCAGCAGAGATGAACCGGTCGGCCAACGGGGAGCAGCCACAGGGAGGGGAGGAAGCCCAATGTTTCCATTCAAAATGCATTCATAATGCAGCCATGCCACCTCCTTTCACCTCCCACGCTATTCCAGGAGGGAAACGCAGCCATCCCTGGGCTGCGCCCCATGCCAGGGTGGAGAAAGCCACTTGGGGACATACCTGGGGGACCTTGGCGATGTGCTGCCGCAGCGTGCGCAGGGTGCTTGGCACAGCCCCAAGTCCCGGCTCCATCTGCACCTTCACCCTCTGGCTGGTGACAAAGGCACAGATGACGCTGGCCCTGCCGGGGATGAGCAAGAGGTGATGGAGCTGCTCCTCCCGGACCCATAGGATGGGGTTTAGGGTGAGGGTGCAGGGATGTGGGGTGCTGTGGGGACTCACAGGATGATGAGGGAGGTGAGGGACAGGCAGCCCAGCAGGCAGTGCCGGCGGCAGCCCAGGGAGCGCCGATGGGCACGCAGGCGGCCCCCGCACCGTCGCCGGCTCCGGCAGTAGCAGAAGCACATCCCGGCCATCGGCACGGCCACGGTGAAGAGCAGAGCCACCGCAGCGCAGACAACGTAGCCCAGTTCATACTGCACCACCTGCGTGATGGGAGACCCCGCTCAGCACCGGTACCGGCTGGGTACCATTCCCATGGGATCTGTACCCCAACATCCCAGCTCACCTGCGATGTCTGCACCGAACTGGGGTTGTTCAGGGCTGCCCTGAGCAGCTCTGCAAGAGAAATCATGGCACCGGTAAGAGGTCCAACCCCATGCACCCCCAACCCTCCCGGGGGTGATGGAGACACCATCCTCCTCCTCCATTGGAAAAGACCTTTAAGCTCATCAGCTCCATGAATTGGCTCAGCCCCCCCACCCGGAGCAGATCCATGCGGATCCCGGCTCTGTGTCTCACCTGTGGGCAGCGGGTTCTGCTGGATGAGGTCCAGGCAGCGCCGCACGAGGCCGTAGAGGGGATCGAGCGAGCTGGGCACCCGGTGCAGCGCCGGCACCCGAATCTCAGCGTGGGTATCAGTGAAGCGGAGGACACCGCCGGGGCCGGCGTTGTGGCATTGCTGGGTACCAGCAGGACGCAGCAGTGCCCAAGCCAGCAGCAACCCGGCTGCGCGCATGGCGAGGAGAGAGCCGGAGGGGCTCCGTCAGCCTGCGAGCGGGCAGAAGGGCATTCCCGGCCCCGGATACCCGCTCCGGCTCGGTGTGCTGCTCCGGGAAACCTGCCTGACGGGTCAAAGCCCAGACGCTGCCGTGGCTTGTTCTCTTGACGGGCTCCCCGGGGCGGCTGCGTTGGAGGCGTCTCCCAAACTATCCCAGGCTTGTTTCACAACCCCCTGCATCCCTGAGTCACCGCCGCGGGGTCCCCGTGGTCCAGGTTGCTCCCAAAGCCTCATCGGGGTTTTGGTGGCTGCGAACCCCCCCTGTCTTCAGGCTGGGTGGGTGCTGATCCCAACACAGCCACCTTCGGGGCTGGGATTTGGGCATTACTTAGGTGGGAAAGCCCTTAATGGTGGATCTACAGACTGGGGTGCCCATGGGGCAGAATCGCCCTTTGCAAAAGCATCCTAGGATCTGGGGTAGCAACGGGAAGGGAAAAGGAAAACAAGGGGGAACACATGGAAAGGGCCAGTGAGTCCCGGCCGGTGATCCTGCTCCATAGCCACGCATGAGATGAGTTTTCCAGGCTCAGCCAGTCCCTGCCTCGCACCCCGAGGCGGCCAAGGCTCCTTCCCAGGGCCAGATCCTGCTCGCCAACATGGGCCAAGCAGTAATTACAGGGCTCAGCTGGAAAGGAAGGAGGTTGAACCTGATCTCCCCAGTGCGGGGGGAGCAGCCCCGTGTGCCCAGACGGCCACAGGGCACACTAAGAGCAGGGCCCCCGCTTGGCCGGTGAGTCGAGCCGGCCCTTCCCCATCACCGGCTGCTGTTGCTTCCCTCCTCCCAGCACTGATGCTAATCCAGTGGTTTCCCTCCCTCTGGAAAAGGGGGGTTTCTGCCAGAGTTTTTCCAGGCTGGGCACAGGGAGGTGCTCCCCAACACCCGCTTGGGAGTGAGATGCTGTGGGCTGGAAAATCCTGCCCAGGCTTGGCTGAGTCCCTGCCCTGGGATAAAGCTCCCAGGGCCAGCGATGTGTGGAGTCTGGGGGGTGCTGGTGTGCACAGTGCATACATATATGTGTATGTATGTATATATGTATGTATATGCATGTGTATACATATATGTATGTGCATATGCATATGTATGTGTATGTGTATGTATGTATATATGCATATGTATGTATATATGCATGTGTATGTATATATGTATGTATATATGTGTGTGTATGTATATGTATGTGTATATATGCATATGTATGTATATATGTATGTATATGTATGTGTGTATGTATATGTATGTGTATATATGCATATGTATGTATATATGTGTGTATGCATACGTATGTATATATTTGTATGCATATGTGTCTGCATATGGGAAAGCAGCCCCAGCTGCTCACACTGGTACTGGCGTGCCGCTGATGCTAGTGGTGCCAGTGATGCTGATGTCAGTGAATGCAGCCACTGATGCCAGTACCAGTGATGCTGATACCGGTGATGCCAGCGATGCCAATGCCAGTGAGTGCAGTCACTGATGCCAGTACCAGTGATGCTGATGCCAGTGAGTGCAGTCAGTGATGCCAGTACCAGTGGTGCTGATACCGGTGATGCCAGCGATGCCGATGCCAGTGAGTGCAGTCAGTGATGCCAGTACCAGTGGTGCTGATACCGGTGATGCCAGCGATGCTGATGCCAGTGAGTGCAGTCAGTGATGCCAGTACCAGTGATGCTGATACCGGTGATGCCAGCGATGCTGATGCCAGTGAGTGTAGTCAGTGATGCCAGTACCAGTGGTGCTGATACCGGTGATGCCAGCGATGCTGATGCCAGTGAGTGCAGTCACTGATGCCAGTACCAGTGATGCTGATACCGGCGATGCCAGTGATGCTGATGCCAGTGAGTGCAGCCACTGCTGCCAGTACCAGTGATGCTGATACCGGCGATGCCAGCGATGCCGATGCCAGTGAGTGCAGTCAGTGATGCCAGTACCAGTGATGCTGATACCGGTGATGCCAGCGATGCCGATGCCAGTGAGTGCAGTCAGTGATGCCAGTACCAGTGGTGCTGATACCGGTGATGCCAGCGATGCCGATGCCAGTGAGTGCAGTCAGTGATGCCAGTACCAGTGATGCTGCTGCCGGTGATGCCAGGGCCGCTCACGCCGATGCCGATGCCGGTGCCGTTGTACCCACTTCTCACCGCTACGCGGCGCCCTAGACACAGAAGCTGCCGCTCAGCGGCCGTGCTCAACCGACGGAGGAGGCGTGGCCGAGGGGCTAAGGGGCGTGGCTTTCCTTGGGGGGCGTGACCTCACGGTGAAGGGGCGTGGTCTCTTTTGGGGGGCGTGGCGTCCGCCTGGCTCCGCGGGCCGTGTGGCGGAAGCGGAACTGACGGTACCGGGCTCGGTGCTGACGCCGGCACCAGCGCCGCCATGGGGGGCAGAGGCGCGGTCCGCGTCCCGGACCGGTGAGCACGGACCCGGGTCCCCCCTCGGCCTCCCCCGGGGTCTTCCCGGCCCCCGGAGCCGCGGCAGGGAAGGGCCCCCGCGGCCTGGGTGGCTTTGGGAGTCCCCGGGAGGGGAGGGAGGGGGGGCGGCGGCGGCGGCCGGGCCGCGGTTGAGCCGTTTAACGCTTCCGTGCTGTGGGGTTTAGGTGGACCGACTACATCCCGGTGGGCAGGAGGATACCGGGAACGCGCTTCATCGCCTTCAAGGTGCCCCTGGGGAGGGTGAGTGCGCGCTGGGCGTGTGCAGGGTGGAAGTGGCGGCGGGGAGGGGTCGGTGTGTGGAGGAGCGATGAGCGTGAGCAGGGCGTTGGAGCTGGGTGAGCTTTAAGGTCCTTTACAACCCAGGCTATTCCATGATGCTGGGTGCTGCCACCTTGCCCTGAGCATTCCCCCCCCCCACCACTGTGTTAGGGCAGGAGGGATGCTGTGAACAGCTCCCACTGGTGCTGCCGGGAGCCTGGGGGCTGCGCATCCCAAGGAATGCAGTGCCAGAGCCAAGGTTCAGGAGCAGGGGCTGGGAATTGGTCCCTGCTCCCAAGGAGCAAGGGATGGGACAAGAGCAAGCGGCCTCAAGCGGTACCAGGGCAGGTTTAGATGGAGCTGAGGAACAGTTCCTTCTCCAAAGGGTGCTCAGGCATTGGAACAGGCTGCCCAGGGCAGGGCTGCAGTCACCGTCCCTGCAAGTGTTCACACACCATGGAGACGAGGCCTCAGTGCCATGGGTTAGTGGTGGCCTTGGCACTGCTGGGCAACAGTTGGCCCTGATGAGCTTAAAGCTGTTTTCCAATCAAGCTGATTCTGTGCAGGATCCTGCTCTGCTCTGGAGGGGTCTGAGCAGGGCAGGTACTCCTAAAGCAAACACTGGTTAATGTCCAAGGGGGTTGAGAAGCTCCTGGCCAGGAGTGGTGCTGTTTGCTGCCCTCTGTTTGAGCTGAAGCCCTGTTTGATGGCTTTCACCGTACAAAAACTTCACTTTCTGTGAGTGCTTTTTCACACTGCAGTGTTCTGCCACAGGGAAAAGTCTGCTTTGTACCCTCAGCTGAGCAGCCTCAAAGCAGCAAGGGCCTGAGCATGTTCTCCTTTGGCTCAGTGTAACCTGTGTGTCCATATGGCTTTGCCTGAGCCCTTCCCTTTGGAGGGATGATCTTTGGGCTCTTTCTGGAGCGTTCCTCCTCCAGTTCACAGTTCACCTGATTGTTAATATCAGCTCTTAAACATTATTCCCTTTTAGAGCTTTGATCAGAACCTTCATCCAGAGGAGAGATTTTCACCCCATGACCTCATTAAGAAAATCAAAGAGCAGAAGGAAGAGCTGGGCCTGATCATTGACCTGACCTACACCACTCGTTACTACAGGCCAGAGGTGAGTCTTGATCCTGCTGCTGAGGAAGTGAAACTCTGTGTAAGCCCTGACATTGCTGGCAAGGAGCAAGATGTTTCTTGCAAGAAGATAACTTTAGTGTGAGGCACTCAAATCCTCAGGCAGGGGGATGAGTTGAGGCATTGAAGGCCCATTGGGGTGGGGGTTTCATCCTCAATCGAGTTCAGGCCTGGAGTGTTTAAACTCTGTTGTGTAGATCCTCTTTGTCCCAGTCAGCACAAGTTTTGTGATCCCCTAAACCTATTTTTGTAGGCTTCTCCTGAGCAAATACTTGCTTACAACCAGCTTTGCCTTGTGGTATCAAATGTGTGGATAATGGCTCGGAAAAGTGTTCCAGCCTCTACGTGTTCCCTGGGGAGGAAAGGCAAGAGAAATGAAAATGCCAAAAGGCTGCTCTGGAATACTGGGCCTATGCCCAGGGGGTGAAGCAGAAGTGTTCTTACCTAAAACAGAGCTGCTGCTGCTCTGTTGGTCTTACCTGAAAAGCTGCTTCTGGGTTTATGGTGTGTGCTTATGTGATAAGAATCCTTGTGCTTTCTGTGGAAATCACTGACTGACTTTCTTGTAGGAGCTCCCAGCCTCAGTCTTCTACTCAAAGATCTTGACAATGGGACATCAAATCCCAAACAGGCACACCGTTTCTCAGTTCAAATATGTTGTAAAACAGTTTCTGAGAGACAACAGAAACAACAGTAAGTGTGGATTTCCCTTGAGAAGGGCACTGCAGGGCTGGAGGCCAGGGATGTTTTAATTGTAGAATCCCAAACTGGTTTGCATTGAAGGGACCTTAAAGCTCCTCCAGCTCCAACCCCTGCCACAGGCAGGGACACCTTCCACTGGAGCAGCTTGCTCCAAGCCCCTGTGTCCAACCTGGCCTTGAACACTGCCAGGTATGGGGCAGCCGCAGCTTCTCTGGGCACCCTGTGCCAGCGCCTCAGCACCCTCACAGGGAAGAGCTTCTGCCTTATCTCCAACCTGAACTTCCCCTATTTCAGTTTGAACCCATCACCCCTTGTCCTATCCCTACAGTCCCTGATGAAGAGCCCCTCTGCAGCATCCTTGTAGCCCCCTTCAGACACTGGGAGCTGCTCTGAGGTCTCCACACAGCTTCTCTTCTCCAGGCTGAACAGCCCCAATGTTCTCAGCCTGGCTCCATACGGGAGTGTGATTCCATCCCTGATCTGGACTTGCTCCAACAGCTCCATGTCCCTCTTGTGCTGAATGAGCAGCATGAATTTCTTTTCCTCTTCTTGGCATGTGAATGTCAAGACAGTAAGTTTGGATTGTTGTGGTGAAGGGATTACTGCTGGCTCTCTGATAATTTGGCACTGAGTTGAGCTTTAATTGCATTTGAGAGTCCATCTCTAGGCTCTCTGTAAACACAGATGACTGTTAATATTTGGGAAACATGGGATGGCTTTTTGTGGAGCTTTTAAATACATCTTCCATGTAGTGAGCTGTGTGACCATGCAGATAAACTCGAGATTAACTGAGTTCATGAGTCGAATCAATGGCTTTAATTAGACATAAATATAGTGATGTTGGTGTGTGGTCCCTTGTAGTCATTTATGCTGGTGTCACTGCTGGAGGGTGAAAGCAAACGGGCTTGTTCTGGTGGGATTTTGGAGTAAGCTGTTTAAATATAACCTGATTTTGGTGTCTTACAGATAAACTCATAGGAGTTCATTGCACACATGGCTTGAACAGAACTGGCTACCTGGTTTGTAGGTGAGTCAAACTGGGTTCAGTGGTGGCATTGCCAGCTGCTTGGTGCTCCAGGAGGAAACAGAGTTGCAGCAATAAGTCAAGAGTCAAGTGAACTTGTGTCATCCCAGATTTGCAAAGATTTAGAGCTTTTCAGCTTTGAGAAGCTTGTTGTTCGGGACACTTCTTGGCCCAAATTTCAGCAGCCCAAATTCTGATCCTCCATTCTGGCACAGAAATAGAAGTTCTAAAAACTTCCCAGTTACTCCTTCTTGTTGAGTTAGCTCAAACCTCTCAATGTTTCCATAGCTAATTGTGTAATTAGAGTTTTCTTGCTGTACAGGTACCTGATTGATGTTGAAGGCATGGAGGCAAACACTGCAATTGAGTGTACGTATGTGTGTGATGTTCTTGTTGGGTGCAGGGTGTTTATTGTGGGCTTGTGATTTAGATGGTCAGAAGACTTGTGCTCGCTCCAGGAAGGTAACTGTGATTTAGCTTTGTGTGTGTTCCTGTAATGTGGAATGGGAGCTGGATCAGGACTGCAGAGAGGGAGAATCCCCTCCCTGAGCTGCTGCTCACATTCTGGGGGTGCAGCCCAGCACATGGAGGGGGTTCTGGGCTCAAGCTCACGCTGAAGCCAGGTCATGGCAAGCTTCTCCTCACCCAGCATTCCAATTCCTTCTCCTCAGGGCTGTCCCATCCAGCCTCCCCCAGCCTGTGTTTGTATTGGATTTCCCCAACCCAGGGGCAGGACCTTGCTCTTGGCCTTGTTGAATTCCATGGGGTTTGCCCTGATCCACCTCTACGGCCTTCAGGGTCTCTCTGGAATTAAGTTTATGGCCTGACTGTGGAGCTAAGCCTGGTTGAGGGAACGTGGTGGGCACTGAACAGGGGTTGGATCACTGCAGCTCTGCCCTGTGCCAGGCTGTGGTGTGCAGGGCAGTAACACTGAGTGAAGTCACCCTGTGTGACCTAAGCATGTTAGTGTTGGTTGAAGGGGTTAAAATCCTTCTAAAGGATTTAAGTCCTCTGCAGCCCCTGAAGTGACATGTACAGAGTGTTGTTGCAACTCAGACCTGTTTCTCTTCAGTGTTCAACAGAGCTCGAGGGCATCCTATAGAGAGAATCAACTATATCCAACATCTTCAGCAGAGACCTGTAAAAAAGTGAGTCTTTTTGTGTGCATAATCAAGTGTGTGCTCAGGGAGAGCTGATGTCAAGCAGCAGGTGCTTAATGTGACTGGCTCCTAGGAAGGGAGATCGAAGGGGCCAGTGGGGAAGGAGGAAGGTGGGGAGCTGGGAGATATAGGTTGAAAGATCTACTGCCATTCTTGTTTGGGGAGCAGTGATGCAGAGGGATGGGGGCTTTAAGTGTAGAAGAGCTCTTTGGATCATTTGTGAATGGTTGGAACAGTCAAAACATGCGGATATCTTTTTAAGGAACTGGGGACTAAATGGATTGGACTCAGACTGCTTCAGACAAAAAGCTGCCCCTACCCCAGCCAGCAACAACCAGATGATCAAACATTATTCACAGCATTCAGACCAGTTCCCCATAGCGGTGCCCAGGTAGGTTTTTGGCTCTTGAATTCCTTTCTCATGTTTAAGACCCTTAAACTTGGACTTCCACAAGCTACATCTTGGAGAGCACGCAAGAGAGCCCTGCCTTGCCAGCTCTGCAGAGATGAGCTTTCAGGTCCCTTCCAACCCAAACCACTCCATGAAAACTTCCCTTACTGTGACTTCTCCTGGTTCTGACTCCTGACTTTTCATTCCAGGAAATCTGGCAGCCCCAAGAAGAGCCGTAGGAGAGGTGCCATGGCACAGACACAGACACATGAGCTCAGGGCGATGGATCCAAGGCAGCCCCACGGGCTGGCAGCGAGGAACTGTCAGCTCTTGCTCCCCACCAAGGAGCAGAGCAATGGACTGTTCTTTCCCCCTCAGAACCCCCAGTTCTGCCCAGCTCAGGGAATGCAGCCTGCCAGGAGACGCAGGCACCATCACTGGAAACCTGTTGGGACAGCATAGGGAATGTTGTCCGTAAGGAAAGCCCATCCAGGGCTGTTTCTGCCATCCCTCCGGGATGGGTCTCGGTGCTGGAATGGGTGGCTTTGCTGTAACCTTCACCAGCCATTGGGAGCTGTAATTGTTCCCAGTGCAGCTCTTTTAGCTCAGTTTTCATTTACTTTCTCTGGTGCTTTTACAAATCCCGCAGGAATTTTGTCTCCTCTGGAATTCCAGAGGCGGAGCTCTGCTCCCTCAGGGAAGAATAAACACATTCACAAATGGACTAACGCTGAAGAAACATCCGCAGGAGCATCCCTTTAACCATCAGCTGAAAGAGTCTTCCTTATTTTTCTCAATACAACAGATTTTATTCAGCCTAAACTCCATTATTTGGGTTTTTTTGTCCTTTTCACCCCCTTTCGCTGCAGTAAATCCCCACAGTGCATAACCCCCGAGCCCCACTTGCAGGGCAGTTATTCCTCCCTGCTTGGGCCGACCCTTCGGCTCTCCCCTGAGCCCGGCGGTGCGCTCTGCCCTCCCCACCGTTTTGGGGTGAAAAAGCGTGTTTTCGGGTTGGGGCGCTGCCCCTTTAAGGTGACGACGCTCAGCGAACGGAAGCGCCCTCTCGTTCGAGGGGGAGCGGGTGGTACCCGGATGTTGCCGCGGCTCCTGATTGGCTGTTTGAAGCGGGGCGGGGCAGCCCTGTCGGCGTCGCGGGCAGAACCCGGAAGCGCTGAGGGGAGGCGGCGGCAGGTCAGGCCCGGGGCCGGGGCCATGGGCGGCTCAAGGGGGCCGGGGGGGGACCGGGACAAGCGGGCTCCGGTTGGGGGTTGTCCCCTGAGGTTCCCTTCGTGGGGCTCCGGCTGCGGGTGTCGTTGCTGTTAGGAAGGAGGATGTGGTTTGGGCCTCCCCTTGGTTTGTTGTGGGGCTCCTCCGCTCTCCCCTGCAGGGTGTGAAGGAGAGACCTTAAAATGAGAGCCGTGGGGAGGGCTCTGGGTTTGGGGGGTGCGGGGGGTGTCATGGAATGGCAGGTTTGGGTTGAAGGGAGCTTAAAGCTCCTCCAGCTCCAACCCCTGCCACGGGCAGGGACCCCTTCCACTGGAGCAGCTTGCTCCAAGCCCCTGTGTCCATCCTGGCCTTGAGCACTGCCAGGGATGGGGCAGCCACAGCTTCTCTGGGCACCCTGTGCCAGCGCCTCAGCACCTTCACATAAATCACTTCTGCCTTATCTCCAACCTGAACTCCCCCTGTTTCAGTCTGAACCCATCACCCCTTGTCCTATCCCTACAGTCCCTAATGAAGAGCCCCTCTCCAGCATTCTTGTAGCCCCCTTCAGACACTGATCTGGACTTGCTCCAACAGCTCCATGTCCTTATGATTTCTTGCTGCCCAATGGTGAGAGGAAGAGGACTGTAGTTTGGTGGCTGGCAGCTCGGTGGGTGCTTTGGCCACTTTATCTCTTGAGGTGCTTTGGGGATTAAAGGGGGAGCTCTGGATTGAAGGCACCAGGGAGTTACCACATGGGAGTGAGTGGTGTTTGTCATCTCCTGGGGTAGGAGGATTGTGGAGCTTGGTTGGGGGTGACTGAGAGCTCTGCCTTTGAGGAGCAACTGAACCCACCCCTGGTAGAAGCAGCAGTGAGGAAGAGAAGCTGAAGGTCACTCTGAGCCCTATAAGTAAGTACTTTGGCACAGCTACTTCTGGCAGGACTGCATCCTACAGCCCTTATTTAGGGCAAGAGGCCTGTTGAGCCCCCTCCAGGATTTGGGCTCAGAAACATGAACCTTCCAGCCTGAACAAGGGACTTGTGCTCCAGAGTAACCCTAGAAGGGCAGCTCCTCTGCTGCTCAGGATCCTCAGGTCAGATCCTTAGCTCAGCTCAGGACCTTTCCCTTGTTTAGGAATGAGTCACAGTAAATCATGCTAGGACAAAGGGGAATGGCTTTAACGTGCCAGAGGGGAGACTGAGATGAGCTCTTAGGCAGAAGCTCTTCCCTGGGAGGGTGCTGAGGCGCTGGCACAGGGTGCCCAGAGAAGCTGTGGCTGCCCCATCCCTGGCAGTGTTCAAGGCCAGGTTGGACACAGGGGCTTGGAGCAAGCTGCTCTAGTGGAAGGGGTCCCTGCCTGTGGCAGGGGTTGGAGCTGGAGGAGCTTTAAGCTCCCTTCAACCCAAACCATTCTGTTCTATGATTCAGTTGCATGCCATGTGTGGCAGTTGAGTTGCTGGAGGGTTTGTTGAGCTGCTGTGGATTCAGCTCTGTAATTTCACAGGGAATTTAACCCCTAAGCTGGTTCTGGGGTGGCTTTTCCAGGGGAAAACTGCTTTTAGTGGAGAGGGAAGAGCATTGCTGAGTGTGGGCTCGCTGCCTCTCAGACAGTCTCGATGCTGCTTCCTCTGCTTCAAGTTCATCGACTTGTGCCATGGCTGAGAAGGCTCTGTCAGAGGCAGGCACATGGATCAGGTCGAGGTGCATTCCTGGGGCATCGGGTGTGCCTCCTGCAGCACAGAGCAGAGAGGGATTGTGACTGTGCCCAGGCAGGAGCAATCTGGGCTTGAGCTGGTTGGGTGAGGGCAGATCTGCTGAGCAGCACTGGCTTCAGCTCCCTTCTCACCTCGCTGCTGTGTAAGCGAAACCGTGCACACTGTGAAGCTGGTTCTGCTTGAGGCTGAATGAAAAGCTGTGATCATCTCGCCCCAAACCAGTGACCAGAACTAGTTCTGTTGTGCAGAGAGACAAGTGGGAAGGAAATGCTGTTTTGGGTAGGATTTGGTTGGGTCAGACCCATGTCATCATTACCATGGCCTGATCTTGAATTTGTGGCTGCTTTTCAGGTTGTCAAGGTAAACATCCAAGCACTGTGCCCCAAAAGAGCTGGGCCTCTCCCAGTTCTCTTCCTAAGGACCTTGCTTGGCCCATGAATTAAATGCTTTTCTGCTGAGGGGGGTGATTTCTATGGAGGAGGGCGAGGTTGGACAGAGCTTGGGTGACACGGTCTAGTGTGAGGTGCCCCTGCCCATGGCAGGCGGTTGGAACTGGATGATTTTAAGGTCCCTTCCACCCCAGCCCATTCTATGATTCTATAAACTGGGTGAGTTACCTGTTTGACACTGGTTTTGATGTGTTTGCCTTTCCTCCCACCACAGCTTTGATGTGTGGGGCTATGCCTGACCACGCTGACATCAGCCTCCCACCGGAGGAGCGAGTGCGACGACTGATCCAGGTGGGAAGTGCTGTGGAAGTGAATGAGGACATCCCACCACGACGCTACTACCGCTCCGGGGTGGAGATCCTCCGCATGGCCACCATTTACTCTGAGGAGGGCAACATGGAGCATGCCTTTATCCTGTACAACAAATACATCACGTAAGAGCAGCGTTGCTTGGCTTGCAGCAAACCTGTGGTCCATGCAAGGGGTTGTGGGCTTGGTGTTCAGTATTTAGAGCGTGTCTAAACGCCGGGAGGTCTTGCTGAGCTGGAAGAACTGGGTTCTGTCCAGAGCTCTGCTCCTTTGGAATTCCAGTTCCCACATAGGTGAGGATGGAGCTGGTTCCATTGACCAAGTGATGTTGTAAGGGTGTGAGGCAGAAACCCACAAACACCACTCACCTCTTTGCAGGGTGTTTGTAAAAGGTCCTTTGGAAACCAGGCTCATCTTGTGTTCCTCTGCTACAGAATACTCCTGTGAGCAGGAGGGAGGTTTTGTCACTCTAGAGTGGTTATAGATTGGCCTTGATTGTCTCTAGGTTAGCCATGACATCATATGGATTGGCAAGGATCCATGATCAAGGATCTGTGTATCAGGTATCTACCTGGAAAAGACATAGTCTGGTTGGTGGTTTCTCTAATGAACCAGCTTCAGAGGAGAAACCTGCTTTTACACTGGAATTACTAAAGCCTTTTACAGCAGGCTGTGAGTTCCTCCTTCAGGTGCAGGGACCAGTTGTAGATTTAGTTTCACATCTCAGAATGTGATGCCCCCTCAGCCATGCACGTGTACACCCAAACCCTTCTCAGGAGGGATGTAAGAGGGAGTTCTGGGTCCAAAGAACTTAATCCCAACTAACTGTTGAGTTTCTTGGCTACTGAGCACCCTTCTAGAAAGCCCTAGATTATATATAAACCCAGCCAACACCATGCTTGGTCGTTCATCTGCCTGGTCTCCAGCTGTAGGGTCTACATTCCATGTAGACAAGTGCAGAGCTGTATTTTCTTGCTGTCATCTCTATAGCTGCCCAGAAACGAGCCATCTTGGGTCTGAAACCCCACTGCTGTGTCTGCCAAGCCGGAGCGTGCACTCCGGTGACGTGGTGTCAGGTCTGGATCGTGTCTGAGCAGCCTGACTACGAGCAGAGCAAGTGTGCTTCTGTAGCTGTGCCTCTTGGTGTCTAAAGAGCTGAAAACTGGGATCCTCATAAAATATCCCAGTGGCACAGAGTGTCCTCTTCCTGTGGGTTTGTTGGCCAAAAGCCTGGCCTCCTGCTCCCACTCGATGCTCTCTGGTGTGGTCTCTGCTGTGCCCACACTACCCACTTATCCAGAATGTGGCTTTTCTCTCTGCCTACCCCCGTGGGCAGGATTCCTGCTCCTTAAATCCAGTGCATTTTTCTCTGATTAGCTTTTCTTCCCGCCTTGCACTTCCTGAGCTTTTATGGGCATCACAGGGAGGCTGCACAGGGAGCTGGGGAGTGTAAAGCCCTTGGGAAGGTTTCCAGGCTGGTTACATAGCTGTGGCCGAAGGAGAAACTCTTTAACTAAACAAATGAACTAAAAGCACCTTCTCTGGTTCATTAGGACACTGATAGGTGCTGGTGTGTTCTTCCCTCAAATACTCATGGCATTTATGTTTGCTTGGCTGCCAGGAAGGGGAAAACCTTCCCTGGGTGTGATATCTCCAGTGATGATGCTCCCCTGGCTTCTCCAAAGATAGGAACTTGATGTCATCATCTCATTTCTTTAAATGAAGATGTGAAGCTGTAGCTGAGGAGGTATAGGAGTTTCTAGATGTCCTTTTCCAAGGGGGATGATCCAGAAGGCAAGAGTGGGGTGCTGGTGGT